TACAAATAAATACAAATAGCCACAAACCTAATAGACAGAGAGCATTGCAATCATAATTGCACTTTATGAAATCTGATGTAAGTAATGTATTAATAGTAGTGCAAGTACAAAAGTTGGTTTAATATAACTTATGTACCGTAATTAATCTATTGTATACCAAATTTTAAACTATTTTTATTGGCATCATTTAGTATTTTTTGGTAGTGTAAGTTGTTAAAAGCATATGTAGATAAAAAAAAATTGTAGTTTGATTTCTACTTAAAATTGCAAGACAATGCTAATTAGCAAAGGAACAAGGAGGTTGTGCCTTGATTGCATATTGTAGGAAGGGTCAAAGAATCAAAATTGAGCATGTAATCTCTTATTTGACAATAATTTTTACGTATACTTGCATGTGTGTATACTTCATTAGTACAACATACCTTTCTTATTAATGGGGATGACCCTAAGGCCCTTAATGGAAGGGGACCCTTGGCCTCTAGTGGATAAAGTCTTTCTCATTATGCTCCTCTAAAACCTGTTTTACCACTACTTTAACCGACACCAACACCAACAAGATCATTTCCACAATTGACACTATCACCATTGTCTCCAGTGCCTTCAACACCACCTAGGGCACCATCTTCAGCACCTTTGTCAAAGACACCACTGCCACCAAAAATAAGTGTAGTCCATTAATGTAGTACTCCATGCCATAAAGCCTAAAGCCAATCATAAATCATCTCATGGCACCCGTGTACTGCATAGCAACAGGAAGAAATGGTGGAATGGTTTGACACCCTAATTACAGCAATTTGTGGTCCTACAGAATCAGCTAGCCCCCTTGTAAAAACCCATGAGATTCAACAACCAGCTCCACCATCCACTACATCTTTGGATGCGTCTACTACATACATGCCATCAGGGGAACACACAAGAGAGGACATGCTCCTTTCAATGTGGCTGCAGTCTGCATCCACAAAAACAATTTGCAGTACATCTTGTGCAACACTGCTTTTTACTACAAAGATTAGATGGATGCAATGGAAGAGGAATTGGGAACAAGCTAACCCTAGATCCAGTAAAAATGGAAAAGACCAGAAAATAATATTTAAAGCATTTCCTTTGTA